CACTTGTTGGAAACCATATTGGAATAAAGAAAAATAGTTGTAAAGTGTACAAAATAAACTACTAAAAAGTAAAACGATGAAAAATGGAAATTRGTGCAACACTACAAAAGCAAATTATTGAATATTGTATKGTAATCTTTATTCTAAATCCCAAACATCATGACAAATAATATATAATTTGTCATGCCAAATATCCATTATCCAATAATGAAAATTCGCGGGTAAATGTTTAAAGATAACATTGATAATAAATAAAATTGTTTTTGGCCGCAGGAACGCTAGCTACTATTCTCACACAGGCCATCAGTTGTTTATATAAGAGAATCTTTGGGCATCATTTCTGTTGTATAGTTTTAATGGGTAGTTTCGTAACCTGTTTATCTTAAGCCATGCTATTATATGCATGATGCGCCATATTTGGTACACAATAAACTTTACATTATAACTTCCAAACTTTTAACTTTAAATTTTTTTTATTATTTTTCCCATAATCAGGGGAAAATTTTAATGAAGTAGATTTTTTCCAGTCAAAAATAAAAAATCATGCAGAAAGGGGTTAACTATAATTTACTAAACRAAAATATTGATATTTAAAAAAATTGTAAAAAATCAGCAATTTGACTTAAATAAGTGTTATTTCCATAGACATTTTTCTGAAAATTATATTTACAAATTGGCTTATATTTTCAGTATTAAAAAATAAAAATAAAAAATGTAGCGCAAGTGTTCATGAATTATATTTAAAAAAATTTTTTTTTAAATATTGATTAGAACAAAAGTTATTTCATTTGTCAGATCTCCGTGGGACACCCCATGATAAGTCGATTAACTCATTATTATTGGGTGTGTGGTGGTGATGAGGTGTGTACAAGATATAAGGCCGATTGTGACGAGATCTAGCATTTGGCCTGTTTTTGGAGCTCCATGGCAGCAGGTATCAAACTATATAAGTATTCGGCACGGGTTTTTTCCGCTGGGTGCGTCTGCAGCACGAATTAAGATATAAAATAAAATATATTTATATCATTATATTTCAATTTTTATTGATTGAGTGTTAATATAGTTATATAATAATACTTGTAATATTAAAACTTACCAAATTTGATTGGCTGTTTCTTGTAGATAACACTTCACGAAAAAAGTTTGCCTGGTCAAACCACACAAGTTTTGGATAATAAATATCGTCTGTTCCACTTCCACTTTTCCTACTTTTTTCTATTTTAGCCAGTTCGTTCCGATAAACATCCTTTATATTTTTTATTTTGGCTTTTAGTTGCTTTTCGTCCATTCCTTCTACCAATCCTTGACTCTCAAGTTCTGAATAGAAGCTTTTAAATATTTCATCTTTTAATTTTATGTTGCAGTAGTCCTTGTGCTTAATGTTCCAAAGTAATGGATATTTTTCATACATTTAAAAAAAATCAATTATATTATTACTGTTCCACTTCATACTTACAAAACTCAAACTTTAAATATTAACCACAGATAACTTATAACCAAATTATTAAACAGTATGTATACAACTTGTGACATGCGCGAATACGAGACTCTACTAGCCGTAGTGTAATCGGACCGGTCACTACACGCTTAGTCGCGCGCGACTTAGTTCGCTGGTAAGAAGCGAGTAAATTCGCCCAATGTAATCCACCCATAAGTTTATTATCAAAATTGGTTTAGAATAGGTTTTTTTATATTTATAGTTCTTTACAAAAATATCAAAACATTTAGTTATTGGCACCATTGTTGAGGTTATTGGCACTCTCATCATTAGTTATTGGCACCCACTAAAATTATATGACAAATTATGTTTTAATTCTTTAGAGACTACTAGAAACTTAGTTATTAACTATTTTTTTGTTAAGAAAAAATATCTACAGGTATATAGGTATTGATAA